CTTGTCGTAAAAAAAAAAAAAAAATGAAGCAGCCCTGGCCAGTGCGGCTTAGTGATTGAGCGTCGTACCCTGCGCCGCGTGGTCGTGGTTGGAGTCAGGTCAGGCACATGCCCAGGTTGTGGGCTCGATCCCCAGTGGGGGGCGTGCAGGAGGCAGCTGAGCAGTGGTTCTGACATCAGTGTTTCTCTCTCTCCCTGTCCCTTCCTCTCTGAAATCAGTAAACTACTTTTTTTAAAAAGGAGCAAAAAGTAGAAGGTAGAGCAACAGATTTGCAGGGAGAGGGATTGTTGGGGTTTCCCAGTGTGGGTAGTCTGAGGGCACCAGGCACCTGGCCTCCTGTGTTGACAGAAGCCACTGTCCCAAGTCTGCTGCAGTGTTTTGCACCTGCCCAGTAGTTGTGCCTTTGTGGAAAGTGGTTGTCAACTGCGTTTAGTGTTTGTTTCCCTGTGTCCCAGGCTCCTTCCTAATTGCTGCATTGCCAGCTAACCTTTGACACTGGCCCAGCTGTGCTGTTGAGCTGGCAGTGCCATCTCTGCCCTGCTCCTGGTGCAACCCGGGCCTTCTTTCTTAGACCTCCACACTTAGTGACACTGCCTGCTTCTCCCTGCATGTGGATATCTGCTTAGGGACACAGTTGTACCCACTCAGGAGGCATTGCTCTGTCGTCAGTGCCCCTTCCTTAGTTTTCTCTGATATCATTAGAACCATCCAGTGGTCGCCGGGCTCCATCGATAGGCCTTTGTAAGCTGAACATGATGTGCTGGTTGTTACCGCTGGTAGCTGCCATTCCTTGACTGCTGTGGCTGCCTTTAGATTGCATTTTCTGTTCACTGTCACAGGGAGATGCTGCTGAGAGTGTGTCAGGGAGCTCTGATATGCATTTATGGTGGAGGCAGTACATGTGGGATTACAGCAGTGAGTCTGGTTTCTCCACAAAAGGAGCTTGCTAGAAGCTCACTAGAAGATCAAGGGTACCCGTGGTGGAAAGGAAACAAGTATGGGTGATTAGGGAGGGCTCAGGAGGTCTCACACGGGCAGTGTGGACAGGCTGGCCAGGGCCCGAGGAGGAGCATGGGAGGGAGATGGAAGCCACCTTGAGTGAAGAAAGTAGGGTATTTGAGCCACTTTGTTAAAACAGATGATTCTCCCTATTATCTCCTCCGCTACCAGGTCCATGGACAAGTGCTTCACAGGTCTGCTGGACACATGAATGTTTCATGACTGTGCTCTTACTGTCTGCAGTCACTACACACGGGTGGGGCTGCCTACCTTCCCCTGGTGCCCTTGCCTGGAGGGTGTAGTCCTGTGGGTTGTATTCTTTTCAGTCTGACTTTCAGGTTGAAATAGCTGGGACTCATTTAGATGACAGGTGATAGGTGCCCTGTTTCCTGACAGTTCAACAGGGGCATTTATAAGTGTCCAGGTAGATGATTCCCGTTGTGCGGGCCCCAGACCACAGTGGGGCAGGGCCTGTCCCCTGTGCATGCCCGTGGTGCTTGTGATTTGACAGCTGAGCTCACAGAGATTGCAGCTGGCCTGGTGTCTGACACGGGCCTCGCTGACCTGTGACTGCTTCCGTAAGTCCCTTTGGCAGTGTGTCCCAGAATTGGCCACGGTGGGGGTGCTTGTTAGGACAGGTGTGGGTCCCGCAGCAGCTGGGATGCTGGGAAGCATCTGAAAACCACCGCCTCCCAGAAGCCCAAGGGTGCCTTTCGGCTCCATCAGCCTGTTATTTTTCTCTGGTTATGTTGAGGAAAACATTTGCACAGAAAACAGGAAATATGCGTTGTGAGAGGACCGCTGTCCTCTCCTGTGTTTTCTGTGGTATTTTAGGTACAGAGTGCCTGCTTTTGCCTGCGACACACGGTGTGGTGCCTCAGAGGGGGTCAAGTATGTCCTGCACTGGAGGGGGTCACACGGGCCGGTCGGATCCTCCAAACTCATTCTTGTGTGCTCTCCGAGTTGTCCTGGGCACGTACAGGGAGAGGCCGTGGTGGCCCCTTCCCCCGGGCCCTCTGCAGTTGGGCATCGGAGCCAGAGTTCACATCAGGGTGATTCTGGCTGGGGTGTGTCATTCACAGCGAACAAAACCAGTAATCTTGGCAGACCTGTGGCTTATCTCCTGATTTCAGTTTCTTTTACGGAAAAGTAGTTTCCCTGTTTACCTACAAAGTGGTACTTCAACCCAAAACGTTTCAAAGAAGGTTTTATTTTTAAAATGTTTCCCTTCTCTCACTAATAAAACAAGTACATTTGTTTAATTTGACCTACCTTTGATCTTACTAAAACAATATCAACCAGGCTATTTTCCAAATACATTCTCTCCCTCTCCCCTCCCCTTTCCTCTCACTACTTTAGAACTTCCAGAACATGTTTTTGCTAAAATTAAATGTGGGGTTTCTTCCTAGTGACTTGTGTTTCACTGGCCAGTGGATGATTTCATGAGAGTCTGTCAGCGTCTGCTTTGGTTGCTGCTCGAGGCCAGGCTGCTGCATTTGGACTCGTGCTTCTGCTTTGAGTCACGGGGCCTGCATTGAGCACCAGTGTGGGAAACACAGAAGGTTGCTTTCCTTCTTTCCATCCTGGGCACTCTGTGATAGATGCCTTGAAACGCTGACAAAATGCTTAAATGTGGGAGACGATGTGAGCAGAGCAAGTGGAGAGGCTACACTGTATATTAATGCATCACCCATGACTAGATAAAGACTCTACTTCCCTGGAGGCTGAGCATGACACACAATCTTACTGTACATTTCTCCCTCCTGAGATCATCATGCTTATTGCTAAAAGGTTAAGACACATGCTTTATGCTTGTTTCTTCTGTCTGATGAATATAATTAGGCCCATGGACAACCCATGAACACAAGTAAACTTGGCTCAAACTGTAGCAGTTTTCATCTTTCAGATTCAGGTATCACAAAATAAAGTAAATGACTTTTCACGTGTTGCTCTTCAGCAGCCTTTTCTTACCCCGGGGCAGGCTTAACACTTAAGGACAGAGCATAGGGTGCCCCTGTGGCCAGGACAGACTTCAGAGTGACACTCGGATTTTGTTTCTGTTAACATGCAGAGTGGTCTTATTGCTGTCTGTAGGTGGATCAGTAAATCAGATTTTTAAAGTTTTTAGTTTCCACGATGGTAAATGTCAGTAGCTATAATCCAAATAAACAAGGGCTCTCTGGGTTCCTCAGTAGGCATGAATAGTGTAAGGGAGTCCAGAGCTCATCAAACCTGAAAAACCACTGCTTTTTAAAAGACAAAAACAAACCCTGAACAGTGTGGCTAAGTTGGTTGGGCATCGTCCGGTGCCTCAAGAGATCACAGGTTCGATTCCCGGTCAAGGCATATGCCCGGTTGCAGTCTTAATCCCCATTAGGGGCCATGCAGGAGGCAACCGATTGATGTTTCTCTTATCATTGATGTTTCTCTCTCTCTCCTTCTCCCTTCCTTTCTCTGACATCAATAAAAACATATTTAAGAAAAAAGAGACAAAAACAAAATTAATCTTTTTTTTTTTTTTTTTTTAAAACAAAGGCACATGCACAGTTGTGTTTCTCTGTCAACATTTCTCTTAGTGTGACCTTAACCATTTACAGTGATTATTGATTACACTTCTTTAGTCAAAGTTAATAAGTTCTGTTTCATAGACAGCTGGGGGGGTAGCTGGGAAACGTCTATCCTTTGGGGGCATTCAGCCGACTAGCAAGGCTTGCATCACAGCGTCCCACCCCCTGCCTCTCTTACGCCCTTTAAAGGGGCAAAAGTGGACCTGTTCAGTGATAGGATGCAAAGATACAGCTTCTGTGGCATTTAAAAATAAGCAAAAATAGATCAAATAAAATTATAATTTCAGCCACAGGTCAAGGATAAGGACAGAAAGAACTAGAACCTGTCTAGATTTAAAGAGCTCTTTTTCCTGGGAGGAATGAAAACCATAATTGATCTTTAGCTCAGAATGGGCAAATGAGCAGGAAAAGGGGGCTAGTGAACCAGGTTCTTTGTTGTCTCCCCCAGAGGAGCTTCCTCTGTGTTTGGTTACTTTGTATAGAGCACCCCGTGTGGGGACCTGGAAGGCATCGTTCAAAGTGCTGCTGCTCCCTGTGGATGGAGAGGCAGCGCACCTTGTTGCACTTTTCAGATACTATGTTTCATTTTGTGTTTTTACAAATTGAAGCCCTCTCACTAGCAAAAAGATAATCACTTGCTGAAGGCTCAGCTGATATATAGATTTATTTTTTAGCAATAAAGTATTTTCAATCAGGGTATGTACACTTTTTTTTAGACATAATGTTACTAAACAGTAGACTATAGTGTAGCATAAACAGAACTTACACACACTGGGAGACTGAAAATCTGCATGACCTGCTTTATTGTGATACTCACGTTCTTGCCGTCACTGGCCCACAGTATCTCCAAGGCCTGCCTTTGTTTATCCATTAATGAAACAAGACAAAAACTAGTGGAGAGGAAAGTTAACTTTAGAAAAACAGATGGTCAGCAAAGTTCTGCTGTCCCTTGGATTGGCCTCTGGGAGCCAGTAAAAGATGCGCAGGGACGTGAGCTGCCTGTGGAGTGTGCGCCTGGTGGTGACATTGACTTCCCTCCCAGAGTCTGTGGGGCACGTCAGCGGGAGACCTTCAAAACTGTTCAACGATGGTTTTATAAAAGGTCTATCATAGCTCTCTTTCTAATAGAAAATGAATATGTGTTAACAATTTTATGTGGGAAAATGTTTTTTACATTTTTGACTGTTTTTTGTTCCTTCTCTTTTGAAACCTCCAGCCAACAAGAACACTGGTCATGACAAGCATGTCCTCTGAGTAAGTATCACCGTGTTGATAATGTCCTACTCGACATAGTACTTTAGCTTTTGTTCATATACTGTGAGGCTGTGCTTTCCAGAGGTTCATATATCTGCCCTGTAACCCTGTTACGCTGTGTGATTAACACCTGAGCTAGAAGATCCCTGGGAATTTAAGTTGGTTAGAAGACTGTGAGCAGTTTAGGACTGGAGGCTTTGAGCTGTTGAGCCAGCGGGAGAGGTTTTATAGTTTGCCCTTCCTCTGGCTTCACCCGCTTGTGTGTCCGCCACCTGACCCATGGCTCCTGAATGCTCAGTAGCTGGAGCTTTGCCCCTGGAACATTGCCCCTAAAGCTCCGAAACAGACTCTGGTGGGACGCGCTCTGCCGTGAGTGGAAACAGGCATCCACAGGTTTCGTTCTGTGGAGAGTTCAGAGCTCGCTGACACAGTTACCATCTCCCCTAAACATGGAACTCAGCACGGCACTTCCAACAAAATGGCGCCGTGTTCTCTGTCACAGGTTTTTGGATTCCTGTTCGCAGGAAAGCCGAATTCCTTTCCATCCGTCGTAGGTTTTCAGGTTTCACGATACTCATCCAAACATTGGGACGTTTCAGTGAAAAACAGGCTGCCGAGGGGTCCATGTCCGTCTGACACGTTGGCGGTGGCGGGTCCTCTTCCTGCCCTGCAGGACTCTGAAGGATGGGGACGCAGACCCACCTGCCGGCTGGGGAGAGGAGCAGCTCCCAGCCTGCGCTCATGTCTTTGGAAACGTGTCGGACACTCTAAATAGCGTGACACAGAAGTGGATCTCTGGTTGGAGTGGTGATGGGCCCGGATCTCAACCCATTCATCCCTGTACCCTAGGGATCTCTCAGAATTTAGAACTGTGGCGTAGTTCACCCCTGTGGTTTTACAGGTGAAGAAATGGGTCTTGCAGTCGACATACTATCACAAGAGAGAAAACTGAGAAAAGGGCCATTGTGTGGGGGGTTGAGGGAGGCAGGCTATCTGAGCTTGAGTCTGGACAACAGCTGCTGTGCTCCCTCTGTGATGTAGTTTTTGAAGAGGGCAGAAGTTATCTCTTAGCTCATTGTGTATGCCCTTGTGTGGTGAGCCCTGTGTGTCCTTTGTGTGTCACTGGGGATTCCCAGAACTCACCAGGAGAGGGGAAAGCAGTGCGTAGAAGTAAAGGCCTTAGGAAGGAGGAGAGGAAGAGGGCAGAGGTACGTGGTCAGAAAGAGAATTGGGAGATTTTGGGTTTTCTTAATGGTACTAAGGCACTGATGCAGTGATAGACAGAAGGTAGACAGAGATGAGCTTTATGAGAATGAGCAGCCTGTCAGTTTGCCCTAAGGTTTGATGGGACAGTTGAATGACAGGACCTTTTCCCTCTCCTCATGGTGGAAAAACTGTGTGTTTGACTCTCAGTAAATAATTGTGTTTTCCCAATGAAATATGCACCTGAGAGCTGCTCCCGAGCACATGTGGGTTGGTTCAGTCTAAAAGGTGCTGAGGTGGGAGAGCAGGGCTGGTGTCTGCTGGCGCCCAGTGCTGGCTGCATCCCTTCCTGGATGGGGCGTGGCGGAGCCCTCACAGCTTCACCTGCATTCCAGCCCTTCCGTGGACACATGGCATTAGATCTGAAGTTCTCTTACTTCCCCAGATTTCAGGTTATGGGCTGTATTGTAAAGGAGTTAAGACATGAACAGCACAGCTGGAATCAGTGTAGAATTTCAGCTTGCTTTGTTTTTCTTTCTATTTTTAATTCGAAGTAATCACCTTGATGTTCATAGGAAGGAGCATTGTATTGATTTTTTCCCCCCTCTCTGATAGGAAGCAGAGCATCGTCACCCGGGTTGTGGCCAAACTGAAAGGCTTCTCTTTAGCCCGGGAAGTGTGTGAGAGCACCACCCACGTGCTGGCTGGGAAGGCGCTGCGCACCCTCAACGTGCTGCTGGGCCTGGCGCGCGGCTGCTGGGTCCTGTCCTACGAGTGGGTAAGTCTGTACTAGACAATGTGTTCTAGCACCCAGACCCTCCCTGGGAGTGGGTGAGCCTGTGCTAGAGCCTCATGTTCCAGCACCGAAGGCATTGGAGTAGGTTAGGTCATCTGGAGGTGTCGACACGAGGCATGCCCATGCGTGTCCTTGTTTATTTGCACACTTTCCTGTGGGCAGTGAGAGTCCTTCTCTCCTTGAAGTCTCCTCCTGGCTCAGCTAACCCCCTCTGGGAGCAGGGCGCTACGGGGACCCCCAAACCACTGGGAGAAACCGGATTAGGACAGACTTAGAAGGAAGATGAGCGACGCATGTTCTCACAGTCCTGTGTGCTCTCTTCTGTGTTTGACCGAGAAATAATGTGACCTCTGTCAGGGATGGTTTAAAAAGCCCAAAGAATTTGGTGATTGTTTTTACAGATGGATTTACTTAGGGTGAAACATATACATTTAATCCCATTTGGATATGTTTTATCTTACACATCTCTATCTGTAACATTACTTGCCCTTGTTTCTGTGAATTAAAGGAGGTTTATATTTTTCTTAAAAATCGTTCTTTATTCATAAAAATTATTTGTTACTATTTCTATTTTTATTTCCCTCAACCTCTAGTGACTCAGAAGCATTGCAGTGGGGCGAATGATTAGTCTGTTATCTGTGTTACTGTGTTGCATCTGCTAAGTATCCCACCTCCTGCCTCCTCCCCCTAAGAATGCATTATATAGATACTGTGTTAATTTAAACCTGTAGAATTATAACATGCAAACAGACTGCAGGTGTGTTTTTAAGAATGTGCTATGATTTAACCCTGCAGCTAGCTATCTGGTCCAGGATGTTCAAGATGGTAGTGCTTAAAGTCACGAAGTGGGAAAGGTTGGAATTGCCCCAGACATTCTGTTTGCATTGGTGGCAGTTGGGGGTTACCTTACCTCATCATGTGTTAGTACTGATCCTCACCGATGGGCATGATTTATAAGTCCAGCTTCCCTGAACGAATGCCCTGTTTTCTTTCTCTCTGATTCACAATGTATCTTCATCTGTCAGCTGTTTCTTCCTTCATGTCCCAGAGGAAAAAAATGTTCTTGATCTTCTATAGAGATACCATCTGTACTTGATTCTGTACCCAGCCTGCTCCCCTGGGACTTTGAGCAGGACAGACGTGAGAATTGGCATCTCCCCTGCTGCCCCAGGTGTCTTCTCGTCTGCTCAGGGTGCTGCATGTGCTCTCCCACTAATCACATGAAGAAATGAAACCGGGTTCATGGTTAGTTTATCTGTGGGATTAGCTGCTGTGTGTATGAAAGGCAGGGAGTAGAATGTGTTACCATAATACACTTCCAGTTCTCACGGGATCCCCAGGATGTCTGCCTGGAGCGAAGTGCCTGGGCCACTCAGTTACCTAAGTGAATGAATGAGGTATAAGTGCAGTAAGTCAAGAAAAGGAAATGAAAGGCAGTCAGGTCGGAGAGAGAGACCTGAAACTAGTTTATAGACACGAGTGTCTATGTAGACAGTGGCAAGAAATCTACAAAACGCTCTTAGAACTAGTGAGTGAGTTGAGCAGATTGTCAGCCTACAGTAATACAAAGTCGGCACTGAAATATTTAAGTATAAACCTAACCTAGTAGTATGTGCAGAAGCTGATACCAAACACCGAGATGAAGAAATCAGAGCTGATGTTCATGGACCAGAAGGCTCCATGTAGTGAAAATGTCACTCCTGCTTCAAGTGATCTGTAGATTTAACACGTTCCCACTCAGAGTCTCGGGAGACCCTCTGAAGCGGTAGACATGCTGATGCTCAGATGAATGTATGGGAAAGCGACCAGCATGGCTGAAACAGAGTTGGGGCCTGGTGCTCCCTGATTTCACCGCATCCTCTCTCAGGGCAGTGTGGTGTTGGCAGAAGGACAGACGCAGTGGGACAGAAAGGCAAACCCAGAACGAGGCCCAGAGGGCTGAGACCAGCTGCCTAGTGCTGAAGCCTGGAGCCCTCCTTGGTTTACTGCGAGCTCGACCATGCAGGGGTGTTCAAAGCCCTATTTTAAGTAACACATTTATATACCAGTGGAGTGATTTTATCTTGTTCTATTCATGTTGAAAAAGCCCGTGCCCTCTTTCTATTTTATTTTTAATTACAGTTTATGTACAATATAATTCTGCATTGGTGTCAGGTGTACTTTACAGAGCGATCCCCTGATATTTCTAGTTCCCACCTGGCGCCATACATAGTTACTGCAATATTATAGAAATTTTTGCCTATGCTGTACTTGTATCCTGTGACTGTTTTGAGACCACCAATCTGTACTTCTTAATCCCTTCACCTTTTCATCCAGACCCTCAGCCCCTCTCCCCTCTGGCAACCATCAGTCTGTTCTCTTATCTGTGGGTTTGTTTCTGTTTTGTGTGCTTGTTTTGTTCTTTAGATTTCACATGTAAGTGAAATCATATGGTATTTGCCTTTCTCTGTGAGACTTATTTAACTTAGCATAATACCCTTCAGTTACCAGTGATCTTAAATAGTGGTACAGCAGTTGCCTCAAAATTTATTTTTCCGTCACCGAGCCACTAACAAAGCCACAGTTCTACAAGATATGACCCCTCACAGGTTTTTATGTTTCCTCTGAATTTCATTTGTTCACCACCTTCTATGAGGACAGAAATCAACTATCTATTCAGAGATGAAGGAAGCCTGAGAAGTCGCCCCGCCTCAGTAATCACACTGAAAACACCCCTACACCGTGTGAGTCCCTGGTGTGTGCTATGCTCAGGGCCCCACGTGTTTCCACTGTTATCATTGTTTGCAGTGCCTGAGCTCATACTAGCTTGCCTTTAAGATGATTTTGCAGTAGAAGACCCACAAAACTGTAACAGTCAATAGGACAATAATATGAAGAATGAAAAAGGAAAACTGTACGGGGTAAACGCCGGCCTGTGTGGCTTTTCTTGGATTTGGGATTTCATGGGCTGAACGTTAGCCTCTGGCCCTACGTAAACAGGAGTAGACTCTGTTGAGCTGCCTGGGTGCTGGGAACTCTGCTCCGTCTCATTGGTCTGTATGGACAGTGTCTGTCCGTCACAGGCTGTGTGAGAGCCGAGAGCTGTGCGTGCACAGTGCCCAGAGCAGTGGCTCAAAAAAGTAACAGCAGGAATAATGTATCAACTTCCCCCACAGAGCTGTAAACATCAAGTGCTTATCTGCTCTCACCTAGTGTCATATACAGAAGGGATGCATTCACCCTAAAATTGAAAAAAGATGCCTGTGTTTTCTCTGGACCAGCGATAAGTTGGCCCTGGACCCCTGCTGCTACCCTGGTATGGGGAATGTTCGTGACAGCTCATGACCCGGAGGCCGAGTGACTAGGAGGGGAGCAGGCGGTGGAGCTGGGAGCATAGTGTGGTCTGGGGGATGCTGCCTAAAAAGAGTATCTATCCTGATGGGGGTTGTTTCTCCAAGGCCACCGGGGCGCTGATTTCAGATTTTACCCTTCCCCCCACCCATCCACGCACCGTTCCTGCGAATTGTCACCCACAGACCTGAACAGTAACAGTGTTGGGATGTGTGAGTTTCTGTGAGAGCAGCTGCCTAAACTCCTGGACAGTGGACAAGGACCATATCCTGTGGCCTGAAGTGAAAGGTCTCTTCCTGCCCTGCGATGTTGTCGTGACGCTGTCGAGGCCCCTCATGCCGCTAGAACACGCTCACTGGCTTTACTCCATTGCTGTGGATGTGCATCCTTGGGGTAAAACATGTTTAGAAGCCGCTGGATGTTGTTCCCTGTTGATCAGTCTTAAGACGAGAATTCCTTCTTTCGTGGCCTCTCTAATTTTATAAAGAAGTTCAGTCTAACAAATGTAATAAACCTTTTTGAGAGAGAAGGGTTGCCACTCTTCATAAAGCCACTGCACCCAGCGTGCAAAGCTCAGACAGTCGACAGTGGAACCTGTACCTGCAGCTTTGTACTGGGCCCTGTGCTTTGCCAGGTCACGGTTTCTCTCTGGGCCGAGATGGGAGGTGTCCACACTGCGTACTTCAGGGAGCCCCTGTCTCTGTGAGAGGAATGGCTCTGTCTTGGGCCTCTCCGTTTCTGCTTGTCCCTGATGCGATTTGGGGGATTCTTAAAATATTCCTTTTGGCCAGCGATATGAACTCGCCTCCAAGAACAACACTGCTAAGAATGTTTTCGTTTCGGGGCTCGTGTGGTGTTCTCTGGAAACTCTCGTAGAGCTCTCCCTGTTCTTCCAAATTAGATGGTTGTCTGTGGCCCACTGAATCTACCAAAAAAGTCATGGTGATTTTATAACAAAATTCAGTTTGAATTTTTAATTTTTGGGGGGAAAGGCTTGTTGGCAGCTCTGCGTGCTTCCACGTTCCCACTCCATCGTTAGCTCTGCCGTGTGCAGCATGGAGAATACCTGGTGGTCTCCCTGCTTTGGGGCTGCATGGCCCATCAGATACAGGGAAATAGAAAACCGTGGCAGGAGCTGCTCTGTTTCCTGTTGATGGGAGCCCGCAAGCAGCACCGTGGAAAGATGATGAAACTCTTTGACCGCAGGGTCCCTTTAGACCAGTGCCTTTTTGCTGAATTGTGCTCGGGTATAGCGCTGTGTGGATTCTTTAGCTGCTCCTGTCTCCTGTCACCTACTGGGTGTCTCCCTGTCCTCTCTGACTTACCTGCATGTCTGCTTTGCCCCCAGGGGAGTGGCCTGTCCCCTCCCACCTGCCCACCGCCCACTTTGGGTGGGTGCCCCCCCCCGGGGGGTGGGAATGGAGCCTGGGCCTGAGTGGAGGTTTGAGCCTGTGTGGGTGAGAAAAGGGTGGTTCTGGGCAGCTCTGAGTCAGGCCTGATATCAGCAGGGCAGTAAATAGTAAGTTTAAGTGCAGGTCTGGAGTTCAGACACTAAATCAGTCCCGCAGCCTAACTTCAGGACAGTTAACCATCAACAAAACAAAAGAGCACTTTATAATCCAGTGTTGGTAAGTCAGAAAGTAACTTCACGA